AAGCGGAGCGAAGCAGTGATGGAGGACACAATCTGGCTGATCAACCTGTTCAGGTTGGTGTAGGAAGGACGCTCGATATCGAGGTTCCTACGGCAGATGTCATAGATTGCCTCGTTATCTACCATGAAGGCACAGTCAGAGTGCTCTAGGGTGGTGTGGGTGGTCAGGATGGCGTTGTAGGGCTCAACCACAGCAGTGGACACTTGGGGAGCTGGGTAGATGGAAAACTCCAGCTTTGACTTCTTGCCGTAGTCGACAGAAAGGCGCTCCATCAGCAGGGAGGTGAAACCAGAGCCGGTCCCACCGCCAAAGCTGTGGAACACCAGGAAGCCCTGAAGACCAGTGCACTGGTCAGCCTGAGGATGGAGAGGGAAAGACAAAGTTCATGCGATACAGTTATCTAGTTTACTTTGTCGATAATGGCTCTGAATTTACCCACCAGTTTGCGAACCCTGTCCAGAACAAGATCAATGATCTCTTTTCCAATGGTATAGTGTCCACGGGCATAATTGTTAGCTGCATCCTCCTTGCCAGTGATCAACTGCTCAGGGTGGAACAGCTGGCGATACGTCCCAGTCCGCACCTCATCTAAGGAAACAGACAGACAGTTATTTAAACTGACTCACATACTGCACTGCTACATTTAGCCAATGGTAACAACGCTTACCGATCACAGTGGGTTCAAGGTCCACGAAAACAGCTCTAGGGACATGCTTTCCAGCTCCAGTCTCACTGAAAAATGTGTTGAAGGAATCATCTCCTCCGCCAATGGTCTTGTCACTGGGCATTTGACCGTCTGGCTGAATGCCATGTTCCAAGCAGTAAAGCTCCCAGCAGGCATTCCCAATCTGGACACCAGCCTGTCCAACGTGGATGGAGATGCATTCACGCTGTGGGAAGAAAGACAGGTCACTTAGATGTTCACACTTTTTTCACTACAGATGATGGGTACCAAAAACCTTATCATTTTCCCCCCCTCCCGACCTGTTCACCATTTATCCAGGTCAAAAACCTAAAACCTAAACTAAAGAGCAAGTTAATTCAAAAGGTGTCTTAGAGAAGATAGCTACCCAACAACTGAGCACTAAGAGCTTTTACAGTCCAGTGGGACGCTAGGCCAGATGTTGTCACTGACTGGATATAAACCACACCTCTCCGGTGCACAAAAGGCCGAACGGAAAGCGGGGAGGAATGGGTTGTCACAACCACCAAAAATGCGCCATGTCATCTCCCCACGCCCCAAATCACAGTTATACCCTCCAATCTTACTGATACCTAAAATTATGCGACCTGTCTGATTATCAAAGAGTAAAACGTAGTTCCGTATACTGCCTTCCATGTTCCCGTTTTTAATTTTCGGTTTAAGGCAACGCTTCCTCCCTCGTTCCTTAGAACAGCAGATTAAAAATTGCGCACCGACATATCATCAATAACCAACTGCCAACATTTAGCAGAGGTTTTTAAATGTCTTACCATTTTGTTCGTTGGTCCTTAGAGTAAAGAATAGGAAGAAAAACTCGACAACAAATCCTCCAAACCAACCGTTAGGAGCCGATGTAAGAGGAAATAATGACGCAGACAGCGCTTTCGCGCCTGGCTTGCGGAGGGGACCGAACCATTTCTTCTAAATTAGGAGGTGCGCGGATTACAATATGCTTAATTTTATCCAAAAACAAAAAAAACTCATCACTAGATTAATCAAAAATAAAGCAAAATGCGTCTTCTATTAATTATATAATAAAAAAATGTAAATTTTAAACGTACAGATATCTTTAATGGCTCCCTAATTTCTAGACCCTTAGATTCGCCCTGACTTCCTCGGACCGCATTTCTAGAATCATTTTACGTATCGCCTCCTGGCGGTTTGGATGATAAATGTAACTCATGTATAACTTTTAACAATTTGAGTACAACCAAGTAATTAAAAATTTAATACAGTATTAGTACAATAAAACTGAATTTAAAAATGTGTTTCTTTCTGTGTCTTCATAGCTCTGCCTTCAATTACATACGTGAAAAGATGAAACAGCCAAACAGGTCACACTGCGAAAAGAAATCGATCAAGACTATTGTTCTATGCAAAAATACAAAGGTGTATCCCACCAAGCAATCCCTTTGTATAAATTGATGTGTTTTTGTTTTCTTTCTCTTTTTGTACGTATTTATTTTCTTCATAAAAACACAGTATACTCGCTGCTTCACATTTACTCACATTTCCCTTTATATTATTATGTCTATATTATTGTGTTGTCGTTCAATGATCACGTTGTTTACAGAAAGGTTTTTTTTAAGCCAACAATACGAAGTTCAAAATTATGAAAACAAAACAAAACAAGAACTTCCCATCTATATGCCGCTGTTCCTATAAGCAACAGATGCTCCGGCAGTCCGGGTAATGATCGTTGGCGGCAGGAAAGCTATACAGTTTGTAGAGTGTAGAAAACTGCGAGCTAAATGAAACAGGTTTGTGTTTGTGAGACGAGAAAGCTGATCCTAGGTAGGATTCCTGAATAATTGACGGAGAAACGGTGAGCTACACCTGGCGCACGTGTTTACAATCGATGCCAGAAACCGTTGAGACAGAGCGGGAGGTTAAACCTCTTCCGCTGAAGCCTCTGAACATGTTTGGCAGGCAGTGCCTGCTTGTAGTTACGATTATTAAGTAATTTCTACTTACAACCACTTAAAGTATTTATTTGTTTACTCATCTTTTTAAAATAAATGTAATTTAATTGATCACTTGACCTATTTACTAGGTATATCTTTTTGGGGCAATATTGCCCAGAAATATTACTTTTAAAAAGTAAATTGAACCAAAGAATCCGTCCATCACTACTAAAAGATGGTATAATGAAAACTTAAAATAATATTAATATCTCCGTTGGGTGGCGGTAACTATTTCCCAAATCATTGTCCTTTAATTTAATAATAAATTAGTGTACCAGTGACTGTATAAAGCACACAGCCTTAAATATATTTTATATTTAATACTGTAAGCATGTGATTAATTCTGTTTTGTAGTTTCTAAGTGTGACCACTGTGGGGAATCAGCATGGGTGTTTGATAACAATATACAAACATGGAAGGAGGTAAGAATTTTGACTGGTATTTAAACGTTCTGCCAACTTATTTTTAAACAAGATAACAGCGGCAGTATCGACAAAACACACTTCAGTTTTCTAAAGTAAATATTTTTTAGATGAAATAATATAATTGTTTTATATGCTGACTGTGCATGTATGTTTAAGATGTATTTTATTTTCCATTTTTCTGTGGTGGCCGTTCGGGACAGAACTAAAAAAACATTACGACACATCAGCATATACTGCCGGATGCACACCATTGATTCCCAAATTAGTTTTTTCTGAAATATTATAGACTTTCCACACTAGGCCCCAAACACATAATTAGATGAAACCAGATTAAATTTTACAGCCCCAAGCAACTGCTGTTTTATGTATTTAAATATTTAAGGTGTAAAGCTTTAAAACTGTTCTTAACAGTTTTTGAGTATTAGTGTTTAAAAAAAATTAATGCACTGACACCTTGTCTTTAAACAGCTCATGTACTCTTTATTAAGAAGCACCTTAATAAAAGAAAGTGCTGATATTGAAAGAACAGAACTACAAAACAAAGTGGTCATGTCTCCATGTTACACTCTCACATAGCATTAAAACACCACATTTATTTAAAGTTGAAAATTATATACAGGAATGTGTAACAAGATTTAGTAGAACAATGTAACAGTGCTTCTGAGC